ACCCCCAGAAAGGAAGGCTAAGCAACTCTTCCTGGCAAATCCGACCGGCAAAAGGCCCAGGGGACGGCCAAGGTTAACCTGGTGCAAACATATCGAAGGAGTCTGTTCCAGACTGCATTTGTCTTTTGCCGAAGCTCAGACTCTGGCAAAGGATCGGGAACGTTGGAAGCTCTGTCTGACGTGTCTGCCTCCGCGGCCCGAAAGGAGAAGCAGCGGTTGAAGATGAAGAAGATGAAGATGTAAAATAATTATCTGACTGCTGGCATTGTGAGAGAAAATGGATAAGGTGTAGAGAAAAATTACAAAATCACTTTCGCTTACAAGACGAACATGCAAATGTAAAACAGAACTTGAAGGAACTTGAACAGAGAGGACGGAACAGATATCAGTTGATCTCTGCAGTTATTGCATATCCTTTTCTTGTTAAGTGAAATATACAGAGATTCTTTAATAAGTATATAGATGTATATTTGGTATACTCGGTGATGATCCAGTAAAAGAAAAGGATTGTCGACTTGGACTGTACAGCGAATCAGTTATGGTTCATACCGGTATGGACAGATTCCCGCTATGGGCAGCGGCATATATATTGCAAGACCTTATTCCATCATTGGGTAACCATCATGGACGTGTCTTAAATCTGTGTAATAACGGTATAACTGGCCGTTTTAGCCGTTTCGGAATGCCGGGAGATGCCGTCATACTGAGAAGACTAATTATTATTAATGACTTGACTTTCCGACCAGGATGGTACTTTATGTCATAATCAGCTTTTCATTAGCTTTAGGAACTAAATGGAATCGTTTTCATTTATCTCACTGAGAAACGGACGCTATGGTATTGTTGATACACTCACATTTTTATGAATTTCTACTTGTTTGGATTTTATTGTTTCGTGGATAACCTCAACTGCCTGTGGTTGTAGACGCATATCCGTGGTTGAACGTGAATGCCATCACGTCGAAGTCTCACAACGAGTCCCGAGTCCAGAACAGGGGGAGACACGGAATCACTGTCGAGCGAAACTGACCATCCGGAACCAAGGTTTATGCAAAGGGTGCGCAGAAGAAGCCCTTATTGGGTGAGGGAAGAAAACGAAGAACGATTATTAGTTAATGCCACGTTTTGCAGGTTCGCTTTATAGCACACACTGTGAGTTTGCAGCGAGTTTTGCAGCGATCACCTGAGCTTATTCACGCTGCACACAGTTCCAGTCCGCATAACCACTCCATTCAGCGGAATTCATTGACGTTAGGCGATTCGATGGCGAATCCGAACCATTCGGATTTGCATCATTCGGCTCCCTTGGGACAGCAACTACACAATGAAGCACTCCAATTTCCAACAGATGGAATCTTGTGGCCTCGACTGCTAAGATTGGGAGGATATTTCAATGTTTTGCAGGTCGAGCTCAACAATTCTGATTATCAGCGAAATGATGATATTCCAAGAAATGAATTAATCTCAACATTCAATGCATATATAGAAGATGATTTTCTCAACCGTTGTTTTTATTTGACCGAAATGATATCCGCTTTTGGATTACCGCTCTCAATGTATATCGCAGTCACTCAGTCAATTGAACAGATTGACGATCATACGACCTTGTTGGCAGAAATTGTACTGCTGCCTTCATTGGAAATCACCGCAGACATGACCATCGAACAGCGTACATGTGCGATTTGCCTCAACGTGCAGCAACATGTTATAATTCTACCCTGCCACCATCTGTTCCATCCGCTGTGCATTGAAATATGGCTGAAAATAAAAATGATCTGTCCGACGTGTGGTAGACCGGTGAACCCGACTTACGCGTTAGAAGAAGAGCGATATTGGGCTGGTAAGCGCTACCTCCATTTGCTCAAAATGAATTCAGTTCTATGCTATTTCAGAGGTGGAAGTTGGCGATGCTGCACGGAAATAGCCTCTAGAAAATTAGTTTTCAAGTGATTTTCGGCAG